CTCTCTCTCTCTCTCTCTCTCTCTCTCTCTCTCTCTCTCTCTCCCTACCTAAAACCCAAAGTTTGCACTCCATCTCTCTATCGATTCTCTTGGACTCCCTTAGTCAATTTTTCCATCTCTCTATCAATTCTCTAGTGACTTGGACTCACTTACTCAATTTTCCCCAGCATTCCAGTATGCAAGTAAGCTCATGATTTACTTATTACTGCTGGAGTTAGTATACTGAAAATATTTAGAAAATTGGCTTTAAAGGGTTTTAAGAAAAGGAAACTTGTGCTCATTTGGCAATCATTGTGATGAATTATTTTATAGATGTTCCAGAGCCTTTATTATGGTGATTTTGTTGGGTTTTTTTTGGGGCAAATTCAAGGCTTTGCGGTGAATTTCATGTTTTTTTATTTGGTGGAGAGTTGGTGATTTGTGGGTTGATTCTTGATGTTTTTTTTTCCCGTAGTGTTGTTTGGTGGATGCTTTGATGGGTTTATTGTGGTGATTGTGTTTGTTCTCTTGGTGGGAGATTGGAACTTTTGGGATGGGTTTTTATCATTGGTAAGTCATTAAGAATCAGCGATTTGATGTTGATTCTTGTTGTGTCAATAAGTTTTTATTTTTTATTTTTTTTCTGATGTTGTTTTTGCTCCTTCTAATTTTTCAGAAATGTATGAAAGTATTTTAACAAAATGTTTTAGAAGTTCTCTATTTTATTTAATTTTAAAAATAATGCTTGACCTGCCTTACTAAGACTCGGATTAATCCAGACAATAGCAAAAAAAATGGAATAATTATGTGTTGAGTGGTTTTCTACTAGTTGCAGCTTGGTAGGGATCTTTTACCTATCATTAAAACAAGAACAAACTTACCAAAGACTAAATAAGAAAAAGGGAACTTGTATTGATCAAAAAGAAGAAGAGATGGCTTGTGTTCGATTGTGCATGCCATGTAAAATAAATAAGGAGAAAAATTTGTTTTTGTGGAGCTTTTGGTTTCTTTATCTCTTCCTTTTGCACCTTGGAGAAGTTCTCACTTTATTATTTTAGTTTAGGGGTATTGTGATATCTGAAGTATAAAAGATGAACTTTGTGTGGTTTCATTAAATCTCAAGTTATGGTGATGACTTCCTTTTGTTGGTTCACTTTGAGAAACTGTTGTTTCTTCTTTGTTTAGCTGTTAATCAAGTTTGCCTGTACAACTGAGAGACATAAATTTTTCTGAGGTTGGATTACTTTTGAAATAATTGGTTAATCTTTCTTTTAGTACCTGCTTGTGTTAATTTGTTAATATTGCTTGTTATTTCAGGAACACAAAAATTTGGACGCAGCCATAGAATCTCTTCTAAATGTAGAAAAGCAAATGAGGCTTGCTGGCGATGTTGCCGGAACCAAAAAAGCGGTCATTGATATCGTGCAGCTTTGCTACGAGGCCTGTGCATGGAAGACTCTTAATGATCAAATTGTTTTGCTTTCAAAGAGAAGGGGTCAGCTTAAGCAGGTCAATCTTGTTTTCTTTGAGAAAATTAGTGTGCTTTAATAAGTCTTGAGGAAATCGCTCTCTCATCCTCTTTATTGAAATTGAAATACCTCCAAACATTATTTTCGATGATCTCTTGGCATTTTCTGAGATATTGATTCAACCATTTATGTAGTCATTTTTTTTTTAGTTGTTTGATTGTTATCTGACGTTGTCTGCCTTAAATTATTCTACGTGTGTTCCTTTTCTCACTGAAGTTTATTCTATGCATTATGTTTATGTGTTGGAATCTTCTAATAAGACATGCTTCATTTATGATTTCTCCTCGCTCCAAATTATATGATGACTAACATCAGCATTGAAAAAACACTATATTGTACGTGGATATATGTATTAGGAGAAAATGGTCTGTGTGTACGTATGTATATCTTACAGTAGAGTTTCAAACTTTAAGTAGTTTTTTGATGTTTTTGATTGGGTTGACACAATGAAGGGATATTATGTTAATGATTTTCAGGGTTTGTTTTTGTTTATTGCATTTCTGTATGTAGATATTAATGTGTGTTTGCATGTGATTTAGATGCATGTGAATGTGTATAGATATGTCTCCTCTTTTTCCATTCTTGATCAACATGGGGTCACTGAGTTATGCATTAAAATTTTTAGTCCTCAAAAATACTTCTAATCACTAGTCTCTATGAGTGTTTTAAAATTCTGTGAGTTGACTCGGAACTTACCCGATTCAATTCGTCTCGGGGACTCTAGTGAGTACTATGGCAATTCCACTTCACTTGCCTAAGTCTTACAGTTTTTAGCCCTTCAGTGTTTTTTTCCTGAATAGACTCTAGAATCAGTTGAGTTGATCTGCTGATTCAGGCTCAAGACCCTAGTGAGTCTCTACTCGAGTCAGTGCTTCAAAATACTTGTCTCTACATTTGTTTTGGAATGGTATTTAGAAAGATATGCAGGAATTTTGATGATCCTGGTGAGATCTCTTATCTTATGATGTACCCCTATGATTTCTTTCATTCATGCCATTGATTGTCACCCCTTCCATTTTTCTTTTTCTTCTGTTCGACAAAAGTTCCTCTTTATTCTCATCCTTTAAGAAATTCCCTTGTCTCTCATTCCAAATTCATCCGCAACCCAAAAAGAAACATGTGCATATCGCCGTGTTTCTATTCTTTACACAAGAGGTAATTGTCTTGGAAAGAATCTAGCATCCCTTTTTCCTAGCATGCGTATGCGCTCTCATACATGTGCATGGATGTGTATAAAAAAGGAGTAAGCATTGAAGTATGTGATGCAGTGATAAATTGGATGTCTTTTATATCCAGTGTGTTCATCTTTGTTTTACTTTGGAGTGGCAGGTAAGGTTTGTGCAATGAGGGTTGAGGTATGCCATGAATATTGAGAAAGGAGATCATCCCCAAAAAAGAGGGAGGTCATTTTCATCCTCGTACCAGAATTTTCCTTTAAGCATAGTTGTTGGAAGTACGAGTCACATTGAAATGATATAGGGATCTGAAGCATGGAATCGGGGATGGCCAGAAGATTTCTGTGTGTAGGATACACCATCTGTAAAATGCCTATTCTAGGGTTACATTCCCGACCTTTTGGGGTCTTGATCCCATCCTTTTGGGGATCACGCTCCCAACCTTTTGGATCATGCAAAAAATTAAGTCCAACATTTAAGTACACAATTGACATTGAGAGCTAGAATTAGATATTGTAATCTTAAGAAATAGACCTATTTTAAGATTACACTGTTTAATTTTTGAAACATTAAACAATGTAATTTTCATAAGGTTGTGATCACTCCCAGCCTTTTGGGATCTTGATCCCTAATAATGAGATTGAGATCCAAATAAAATCTAAAAATTGAGGTACCTTCAAAACCCTCTCCAAGAACACCGATGTTGCCACTTGGGTTGGACGATCCCGGCAACTATGCTTTTGATTTATTTGGCTGTGAAGACTAATAAAGGTGCTGCAAGAATGTTCACCTCATTTATGGAATACATATTTAAGGTAGATCATCATCATCCGAGCGTTATCCCAACTATTTGGTGTTGGCTACATGAATCCTATTTTGCCATATTGGATGAAGGTTTATTAGATCTATTGGATTTCACTATCTTCTTTGAAGGACCATGTTCAGTGTTGGATGGAAAAGGTGGATATAATATGTGTATCCTCCATGTCTTCGTCATGGTCAATAGATAATGGATCTCCTAAAGGTTCCTTCAGTTTCTTTGGAGGATTGCAATATGGACAGCCCCTCTTCTCCATCTTCCTAATCATAGTTTGGCAATGATTACTAGAGAATTTCATTGTGAAATCAAGAGGCTCATTTATGTCAGATATTGACTTTGCAAGCAGAAGTTTTCTCTTGCTATAATGCTACTCGCATAGGTGGGTAATATAAAATGATGAGGTGATACATAGATGCTATGAGATGGCCTTGCATGGTTGATAAATGTAAATTGATCCTAGGCAATGCAGTACTAAAGCATTGCATGATTGAAATGGCTCTGCCTTAAGAGCTATGTTTTGTGATATGAGTAAGGAATATCATGGGAATCAAGGGGTGGAATGGTCTGAGAGGAGGAAGGCATCAAAATGGCCAGATTAGATTCAACTTGTCATCATCACCGTGTCATATGGGCCATGATTACTCATGTTAACCAACATCATATCATCATATCATTGTTGCTCATCCCTTGTTTAATAGTGGAGAATATGAAAACATTCTTGAGAAAGTTCTTGTGTAGAGGTGGTATTCAGTCACAAGTTCCATTTATTCAAGTGGGAGGAAGTTTGCCAGGCTAAGAAGTCGGGAGATTATGGAAACATTCTAGAGAAAGTTCTTGTGTAGAGGTGTAATTTAGTCTCACAAGTTCAAAATATTCAAGTGGGAGGAAGCTTGCTGGGCTAAGATGGGAGCTTGGGTTACAAATTGTCAGAGTGATGGACAAGGCTCTTATTCTCAAGTCGTTGTGAGGATATGGAAGGAATCTTGATGTCTTAGGAGAAGTCACTTTAAGGGTAAAATGGTTGCCTAGAAGCTGGGTCATCTTGATGGATATCTGCAACAAACAAGTATCAGCCATCTTCAACACTAGTGACACTTGTTATTGATCCAAAAAGAAAACCAGGGACTCTAGTTCCTGAACTTTTGGATCCCATTATATGTTTCCTGGGCCTGAGGTAATCTTTGTATGAACCTGTGGAGACTCTTTGGTTTTTCTGTTTCACTTCACAAATGGTTTAGGAGATCAACCATAGTTACTGGGTCGGGACTGGGATCACGACCCGTTCCGGGATCATATCTGGAGTGGGGGATTGTGAAAGGCTAGAAGATCCTAGTTTAGGGGTTGCTGTCTGTATACCTCTAAAATCAGGGATTTGGGGAGCTTGATCCCAACTTCTAAGATCGAATAATAAGTTCTACATGTCTGTGCTCCATCTCGTTAAAAATCGAGGTCCTTGAGTGCACTTAACTAGGGCTCCCTAGGTCGGAGTGCAGTCCATAAATATTTAATGATTTTTTAAATTCAAAATTTTATTAAAATGTAAGAAATTGTATCATTCTATTATAATTTAGTATTTTTGTATTTATGTGAATGTACTTTATATTTTAATCAAGTAACAAATTTTTTTATAGAAATTGAAACTTTATGAAAAACATAAGTATTGAATCATCATATAATATTTTAATTTTTCCATTCTTTGATTGTAGTTTATGACTTTACGTAGCATAATAACAATCATGGCCATTTGTCAAAAAAAAAGCAGTGAAATAAGTATTAAGTTGAAGACCAGGGAGGACAATGTAGTCTACCACCATCGTGAATTATGTGTATGAACAAAATATGCAACTAATATGTTACATAATATTCAAAAGTGTCAGCTAAGTATGCAGAATAGCCATTGCTTAGCATTAAGATGAAGATCAAAACTTGATTTCGTGGCACATTAAAGAGGAAAAGAGGGACAGTAGAGTCTACGGCCTAGGGAATCTTGGTCCCACATTGGTGGAACCTCGGTTCCATTACCTATGAACCCTCAGATTGGCACAAAAGAATTTGGATCCTATGTAACTTAGGATCTCTATCCCTAATAAGAAGGATCGAGATCCCAATGTTTAAGAATTGTAAAGGAGCGAGAGCCCTCCTTGGAGAGCAGGAGCGAGCTTCCGGACTGGAAGTGACCACCTTTGTTGGGAGGTTCTAGTAGCTATGAGGTCAGCTATTAACTTCCGAAGCTGATGACCACTCTTGGACAACAACGGTTAATACTCAGTCTTGGCATTTAGAGGGAGATTGCAAGAAGAGTTAGTTATAACATACACGTGACGATGAAGCAGTTTATTATTTTTCAATCTATATATCTTTCTTTTTGTCATGGATGAAATTATTAATTCCTTAAGCTTAGGTCCAAAACATGAATCTCATTGTGATTCTTCTTATCGACTGACTGTTTTTACTAGATTTTTCCTTCATTTCTGAAACCTGGCACACCTCTTTACGTGCTTGGGTCTCTTGAATGTGGTTTTTGGTGCTCTTCATGTCTCTTTCTCTGTTAGTCATTAATACTCTTTAACCAATTGATATATATTGTATTTAGTGATGCAACTTCATTGTACGCTTTTGTCCTTGTTTTCTAAATGTTGCTGGCATTTCATGGTTATATTTAGCTATCTACAACAGCATTATATGCAACAAACTTCAGATTCGTGATGAGTCTACATCTCTTATGAGGACAATATCTTTAGTTTGTGGCTTCATGGAGTATAACTGAACTTTTTTATTTGCGAAGTCATATGTGAAATGTTAACATTTCTTGGAGGGATCTGATGTCAACTATATCTTCCCATGTGTAGCTCTCACACTTCTTTTTTTGTATATGGTTGTATTCATTCTAAGCCTTCTGTATTTTATAGTTTTATCTTTGATGCCATGTTATGGAAGTGCTTTGCCATGGTGAGATCCCTCAGTATGTTTTACATTAACCAAAGGAATAGTTCTCTCTCCCTCTCTATATCTCTCTCATTGCCCCAAGAATAATGTGCTACACTGCAAAAATTCATTTCTCATATGAATCCAAAAACATGAAGTATTGGATATGTTAACGGTTGCCCTTCATTTGTTTTTTTGATTTATTATTCTTGGCATCCAGGCAGTAACGGCAATGGTTCAGCAAGCGATGCAATACATAGATGAGACACCTGATATCGAGACACGAGTAGAGTTGATTAAAACATTGAACAATGTCTCTGCTGGGAAGGTGAATAGAAGCCCCTGAGAGCTTGATTTTTTTATGCTTGTGCTTCAGTAATTATCAACTTTTTCTTGAAACTGATGGTCTTTTTTTCAGATTTATGTTGAAATAGAAAGGGCAAGGTTGATTAAAAAACTTGCGAAAATTAAGGAAGAACAGGGCCTTATTGCAGAGGCTGCTGACTTGATGCAGGAAATTGCTGTAAGTGTGATCATTTGAAATGTATTTCCATGGGGATCACTATCAGTTGTTCGTATTTGTGAAGTTGCATGTGAATCAATACGTATTTCTTGTTTTAAAGATGTGAATGAAATGTTGTCATATTTATTAATATTGTTCTGGCCCAAAAGTTTGTTATGAATGAGGAGCATTGTATTGCAGGTGGAGACCTTTGGTGCTATGGCAAAAACTGAGAAAATAGCATTCATCCTGGAACAAGTATGACACATATTTTACTAGACATTTCCAGAAGATCATTCTTTTTCTAGCAGATCATTTATGTACTATGTTGACTAAATGATCATTGTCTTTACTGATCATGCTAATTTATGTGATTTTTCTTTCAATGCTAAAACCTGCACAGGTTCGCCTTTGTTTAGACCGCAAGGATTATGTCCGTGCACAGATTTTATCAAGGAAAATAAGTCCTCGAGTATTTGATGCTGACCCTTTGAAAGAGAAAAAGAAACCAAAGGAAGGGGATAATGTTGTTGAAGAGGCTCCAGCTGATATACCTTCACTACTAGAGTTGAAGCGAATCTACTATGAACTAATGATTCGGTAATCCTTTCTTTTTTCCTTTTTTTTTTTTTAACTTTCTGAAGCTTGCTAACTTAATAAGCCTAGAGAATATTCGAGGTTAGTACTATTACATGCTCTCAATCTTGCAAATCAGATTGTGCCCATTCCATAATTGTTGGAGCGGCATTTCTGTCATCATGCACACAGGACTGTGATTTGAGACATGAGATAATGCTATCACATGTCTTCTTGTAGTTATAGTTATATGCTTCCTAAATCTTGTTATGTAGCAAGTATTGCATACGTAGTAGATGTTTTCTTAAAAAACAAAACAAGTTGACATTGGTGGAAGTATGTTTGCTGTTCTTTTTCCATGGCAAAACCTTCTCTAACCTTTTGTGCTAACTAATAAGAATCTCATCTTCAGAGGTGTTATTGCCAGAGATCTACATTGCGGATAACTTTAAAGTTAGTTTTTCACATTTCTATGAAAGACTCGAAAGTTCTTTATGTTTTGTTATTTTTAAATTTGTGAAAAAATAACTATTGATAAAACAAGATATTTTTAAAATAACATGCATTTAAATTACATTTTTTTGATTGATGATATGCAATTGAAGTATTATGAGAAGGTAACAAGGGATTCATAGAGGCTCCTCAATACCACTGGCTGCAAGGCACTTACCTCTCAGATCCATCTTGCAAGAGTCGAAATGACACTCCTCAAAATGTGACTTCCTGAGGACCATAGTATGATGGTTTGACTTTATTGTCAGAACATGGACAGGATGTCAGCCTGCTATGGTTTTATCTTGTTGTCTTCACACACTTCAATCTGCCAGCATGTGTATGTTACCTTTCAATGTCCCAATCTCCCACCTCAAGCATAACTTATTTGGCCGTTAGAGTCCTCCCTAGACCCTTTTATACTCCTCATCTCTTAGTTGAAGTCATCTGCCTTATTTGTGGCAGTGTTCCAAATCGTTAGTAATTTCAATTACCTAGCTTAAATTGAGCATTTTTTCTAGCATGTAGGTGGTAGATACATGATTTGGAAATCAAAAAATCTAAGGCACGGATGCTGAAGTTAGGGGAAGTTGATTGGAGGTCCTTCTAGAGGATATTTTGTGGATGGAAGAATCTGGGGTTGATGAAGGATGGAATTATGCGTGGTTAATGAAATTTAAAAAGAAAATGAAGGCATGCCAAATTCATGTGGCTGGTTATTAGGAGACTGGAGACTCTGCTGGTAGACTGCGTTTTTTCTTATTCTGTTGAAAATGACTGTATTTTACCATATAAGGTTAAAGCCACAGACTGCATGTCCTTGTGAATGCTGTGAAGTGACTTGGGTGTCAGTCTGGAGCAAAAGGGGAGATAGAGAAAGGGGTTGGGGAGTTTATTTATTTATTTTTGGGGGTGAAGGAGAAGAGGGGGTTGGTGTTGGTTGATTAACTAAGAGTTAGAGTAGAGAAGGGAAAGGGATTTACATCCTGCAAGTTGGAACATACTGTTCCCTATGCAAACTTGTGTTGCCTTTCACAACTGAATAGAATTGCAGAGGTGGAGGTCGAGAAGGACAAAGATGGGGGTTGGGGAAGGGGAAGATGAAGGAAGGCAGCACGAAATAGGCCCCCAACAGGGATCTGAGGGAGGATCATCATCCACTGCCAAATATCTTCGATCGAGACATGCCATACTGTGTCAGGGACGCAACGGCGTAGCCTCAGAGGCCTGCCACACCTCACCACCCACATCGGGTACTGTCGGGTAGGTGAAACAGGACTGCATCTAGCTGCCATAGTTGGGCCATATCACGTCTGTGACATGACGGCGCAATGTCGAGACATCCCCACCACCATCACCCAAACGTGAATCATGTCTGGTGCTATGACAAACTGTCATCCACTGCCCCATGTCGTCGATCGGGACATGCCATATTGCGTTAGGGACGCAACGGCGCAGCCTCAGAGGCCTGCCACCACCCACATCGGGTCCTGTCGGCGCGGTGAAGCAGGACTTCATATGGCTACCATAGTTGGGCCATATCACGTCGGTGATGTGAAGACGCAGCGTCGGGACATCCCCACCACCATCACGTAGACGTGAATCATGTTCGAAGGCGAGATAAACCGTCATCCACTACTGAAGGCATGCCATATTGTGACATCCTCACAACTAAATAGTTCAAGCCCAAAAAATTGAACGTATACATGCTGGGAATTGAGAAATGGGTGGGGGAAAAAATAAAAGAGGAGAATTGGGGGGGGGGGGGGGGGGGAATGTGATGTGCATGAGGGAGGGATTAGTGACTAATAACCTGAGAAGGGAGCCCCTTGCAAACCAATTAACAACTTGCACAACCTTGTTGAATGTTGATATTATCCAAAGGGAGTTGGGGATGGATGCAGGAGTGTGATGCTCCTGTTGGAGGGAAACACAAACGAGAAACTCAGTGGTGGATAAAAAATCTGCACGGATGAAACTGAAGTCACGAATGAAGAAAGAACGGTGACAAGTTCTGCAGGGAGGATTTTTGTAGCAGGGATGACCTACTCTAACTAGGAACCTCTTAGGGCTTGCAAACTTTTGGCTCAAGTCAGATTTTGGATTTGGACAAACTGAATAGTTGCTTTATACCTAACTGCAGACTCAAGCGTAACCGATTTAAAGATCCATCTTATGGATTTGCTGATTGGTTATGCAGAATTCCTCTTGGTTATCACACTCAAGGGGTCATGAATTGAGAAGTTGTGACAAGTGTTGGAGATGACATCTTTCTGGTTTGAGAATGCAACTAATTTACTGGGGTGGTGAAATATTGAAGACTGTAGCCTATTATTTGTCCTATATTTTCCGTATCTCAATGTGGGGGTTCTGTGCATATCATATATTCTTATAATTCATGGCAAGATGAAGGATTGACTGAAGAGTTCCGGAGTTTTGTTCTAAAATGAATAGGAGTATAAAATGGCCTTGCAACGGTTCCTTTATTCAAATGTTCTAAAAGTTGATCCCGTTTTGATTACCCAGCAGTGTGATCCACCCCAGGAATAATTAGTCATGGCAACACATGGGGGGACCAACTAATATGAATTAGAAGATATGCTACTACTTCTATACTCTTCCCTTGATGGCTGCAAGCATTGTTAAAAAAATAGGACCGCCCAGCACCTAGGCGGCCATACTGAGCAGTGGTCCTTGGGTGGCTGCCCAGGGCTTGCGCCCCGCCTAGAGGCAGAAAAGTGCTTTTTTTTTTTTCAGTTTTTTCAAGATATAAAAGTTTAGAAGGATGGATTTTAGGTTCATTTGAAACCTAAACCCACAAGAATTCATCAGATATAATCATCAAAGTGTTTCTCAAAGTTTGGAGTTCGAGCAATCAATGTAAGTGCATTTTTTAGGTTGCTTATTTTATTTTGAGATGTCTTCTTCAAGAGTTAGTCGGAGTGGAGATCCGGGTTGGAAATATAGATACAACCCGAATCCAAATGACAAATATTGCATTAGATGCAATTTTTGTGAAAAAGATACAAAAGGAGGCATAAACCGGTTTAAGAAACATCTTACTAGTATTAAAGGGGATGTTTTCCCTTGTAAAAATGTTCCTGAAGCTATCAGAGAGGAGATTAAGCAATTTATAAGTTATGTAAAACAAAAACAAGAGCAAACTCCTTGTCATAGATCTATTCTGCTACTCTTAGAAAAAGTGATCCGGGTTGGAAGTATGGGTACAACCCAAAACCAAATGATAAAAATTGTATAAGGTGTAATTTTTGTGAAAAAGATACTAATGGGGGTATTAGCCGATTCAAAAAACACCTTGTTGGTGTTAGAGGTAATGTTGCTTCTTGTACAAGGTTCCTGAAGCAGTTCGGGATGAAATTAGACATCTTCTGAATGTTGAAGAACCAGAAAAAGATGAAAATAAGCTTTGTTTTATGGAAGTATCTTGTCCAGGTTCTAGTCGGAGTGGTGATTTGGGTTGGAAGTATGGTTATAACCCTAATCCAAGTGATAAAAATCGTATTAAATGTAATTATTGTGGAAAGGATACTAATGGGGGCCATTTACCGGTTTAAAAAATACCTTACCAGTATTAAGGGGGATGTTGCTCCTTGTAAAAATGTTCCTGAGGCTACCAAGGAGGAAATTATACAATATTTGAGTTTAGAGAAGCAAAAAAAAAGGGTAGAGTAGCCAAGACTCCTAGGGCCTCATCTGCACAGACTGCACATACTAGTAAGAGGAAGGTAGAAGAAGAGGAGGAAGAGGCAGATTCAAAAGAAATAGAGGAGGACAAGCGTTATATTGAAGAGGGAGATGACTTTGATGATGATGACCTTGACTCTGATGCATATGATGAGGCTTGCATGATGATGATGACGATGACGACGACGATTGAAGACTCTTGGTGCTGAGTGTTGAGTCTGTTGACTGTTGTGTTGAGTCATGAGTGTTGACTTTTGTTAGACTGTATATTTTCTAAAGTTCTGTATATATTTTTTTTTGTTGAATGTTGACTTTTATATCCTACACTTGTATGGTTTCATAGTTTGTTGTTTTAACAATATGGATTATCAAAATTCTCTTCTCGACGTCTATCTTTTTTTTTTTCAACTTGGAATATGATATATTGGTAATTGGTTATGTGTTTACTTTTTTTCAACTGGGCAGTCGCCCAGGTTTTCGGCGCTCGCCTAGGCGTTGGGGGGCCTGGACTCCCCAGGCCGCCTAGGACCCGCCTAGCGCTTTTTGATACACTGGCTGCAAGTTCGTTTCTAAATGGAGGACACATGAACATCATTGGACTGAAATTATTTACCCTTCCAAATCTAAATTCGGGGAAGATTCTTACTGGGCGCTTCTTAAATTTGGAAAAATTTCTGTAAGAGAATTTGATATTTAATACTTTGTCAATATTTCTGATCTGAACTATGGTGTTCCCCATCAAGACAACTCTTAAGTTTGTGATGGTCATTAGATAATTGTTAATGGCATGAGCTCGCTCCATAATTCATATGTAAACCCTTAATCTAGTGTTATAGTGATGAACATATAATAACTGGAATGTTAGTCATTGCAAGTCCTCTTTTTCTCTTTCACAAAGTTTATGTAGCAAAGCCCTTGGTGACCTACAAAGGCTCTCTCTCTCTCTCTCTCTCTCACATACACACATGCACGCAACATGTACAATTACATAATGGATCTCATTGTTGACTTTTTTCCGTGTAGATCTCATTGTTGACTTTTTTCCGTGTAGATCTCATTGTTGACTTTTTTCCGTGTAGGTATTACTTTCATCATAATGATTATTTGGAAGTTTGTCGTAGCTATAAAGCAATATATGACATCCCATCTGTTAAAGGAGATCCTGCGCAATGGATTCCTGTAAGGGTTCTCTTCTAATTATATCCTCTTTGCTCCTTTTGATCTGAGTTATTAGCCTCTAATTGGTTTATCAAATTGTAGGTGCTGAGGAAAATTTGCTGGTACTTAGCCCTGTCTCCACATGATCCCATGCAATCAAGTCTTCTCAATTCTACCTTGGAAGATAAAAATTTGTCTGAGATCCCTATGTTCCGGTATTTTTCTTTGAAATATTGCCAATGCATCTATTGTTTGTAATTAATTCTCTCCATCTTCAATTGTTAACGCTGTCGTCAAACTCTTCTTTACCCATATGTCATTTGGTTAATCTTCTTAATGGAGTTGGTTGCATTTGCAATTTTAGTTTGCTACTAAAGCAGCTGGTTACAATGGAGGTGATTCAATGGACATCTCTTTGGGAAGCTTACAAAGATGAGTTTGAGTGTGAGAAGGATATGCCCGGAGGTTCTTTGGGTGAAAAGGCAGCGGAGGATTTTCGAGAACGGATTATTGAACATGTAATTGTTTCATGACAGATAATGATGCTATTTGTACTCGAGCCAATTTTCATAATAAGCTAACAAATGTATGTTCAATTTGCAGAATATTCTGGTTGTGTCGAAATATTATTTGAGAATTACACTGAAGAGGTTTGCGGAGCTATTGTGCCTCAGTTTGCAGGTTCCTCTCCTTCATGTCGTCGTACCACCCAAAATTTTAAAATGAACTTACTCATTTACTCATTATGTCGACTCAAATTAACTTTCATTCTTAGATTCATTCTCCTTGAAATATATGTCAATGATTTTTTTGCATTTGGAACTACACTTCTTTTTTTTTAATTGATGTCTGGAAATGCACATTATATTACAATATTTTGCTGTCTTTGTTGTAGGAAACTGAGAAACATCTATCTGAAATGGTTGTCTCAAAATCACTGGTGGCAAAGATTGATAGGCCAGCTGGCATAGTGTGCTTCCAAGCTCCCAAGGACAGCAATGACATTTTGAACTCTTGGGCTATGAACTTAGAGAAGCTGCTAGATCTGGTTGAGAAGAGCTGCCACCAAATCCACAAGGAAACCATGGTTCACAAGGCAGCCCTCAAAGTTCAGTAAACGAGTATCATAAATACTGATGAGTTACATAGCACTTAAAATTTATTTGAAATAGTACATTTTTTGTCTGTTTTTCCTTCTTGATCTTTGGGTTTTCTTCCGAGGTTTAGCAACAATTCCAAGATGACCCGTCTCTTTCATTTGATGGGTCACAAAAGAAAGCTTTGAGAATGATATGTAATGATGGTGATTTGCGGTTTTATGATCTATGGTTTAGAAAATCAAAAAATTGGAGAGATTCTTATGTGGCGCCAGGTATTTGAGGTGACCCATCTTTTGCTATTTGTCTTGATGATATCAGTTGTAACCCTACGCAGGTGCAGATAATCTGTTGCCAGTGCACCGTCAAATGATATTTGAGTTTGAATGGGGAAGCTGGTGTAACTTTTGCTTTCACATAGAAGGTCAATTCTTGTATTTTGAGAAAAATAGTTGAATGGTGAAGCTGGTTTAACTTCCCTTTCACATATAAGGTCAATTCTTGTTTTTTGAGGAAAATAGATTCGAATGCTAAGTACCTGTAGTGACTTATGGGAGATGCTTTTGTTAGATGAGTTAGAGACCATGGTGTGCCAGTGTTGGAAAATGCTGTTAAACTCCCCCTGTTAATTGGCAAGTCATAACTGTAACATGTGAAAGTTTGGAGTGGGGAAAATAGTGATTTCTTTTCTGTTCGTCATATAGTTTTTACTTCGAGATTAGTTGCGATGCCAAATTTAACTATTATATCTGTTAATGGGTAGGATTTAGATGTGTTCGGGACCTTTTGCCTGATTTTTAACTCTTACCTCAGAGATGGATTTTTATCGAAAATGCAATTGTTTGGGTGGTGGTGGGGGTGGGGTGGGGCCGGGGGGGGGTAGGGGGGATTTGAGGCAAAAAGTTGAATTTGCAGTGATTTGAGATGTGTTCTGAGTCTTAAATCCTTTGAGAACTGGTGAATGCTCCAAAATTTTTTTTTTTAATTGTTTTTCTTCAAGCGAGTATTTGGCCACGATGTGGGTTCATTTTTGGATGGTTCAAGCGATTTTCAGGGCTTGGCAAAGAGGTGTTTCTGGACTTTTTCTGGTTCAAACGACGAATGCACTTCCTTTGCATTCCTAATCCTAGTTTTGGAAGTTACTTTCATTTTGTTTAGTTGGTTGCCCGCTCGCTTTAACTGACAGTAGTTTTGATAGAACCAGCACTTGACCTCCAAGTTATCTTATTTCTCAAGTTCGATTGGCGTCACGGAACCCAAAAAAAAAAAAAGGGATTGGGGAATGTTTGGAAAATATTATGCATTTTGGGGGGTGTTTGACTAATATTAACTCTAGGGTTAGAACTATCTAGAGAAGATTGGCATGGCTTTTGCGCAAGAATTTCACACAAATCAAGAAATGGTCCAAATTTTTCGGGAAGGGGGCCGGGGTCGTAGTAGTAGCACCTCACACTCTATTATAGTTTTCATTCTTGCTACTAACATCACCTTTTGAAAAGCTAACTCTTAATCTACTTGAAAAAACTAATATTTTTGAAAAGCTAACTCCTATTCTACTTGAAAAATGGGTAGGGGCTGTCACCTAAGATAGTGTCATTAAGTAGGGGCTGTCACCTAAGATAGTGTAATTAATTAAGATACTGTCATTAATTTCATATCCTAAATTTCACGTCCTTGGATATAAACCGAACAATTTAGATCTAGGTATTTAAATTTTTTTTTTTTTTATGAGATCGCTCATCTGACATTTTTAAATTAGACAGAAATGAGCATTGGTGAAGTATTTTGGCATATCTCCAATGCAATTGAATATTGTAATCTCATTGTTCCACCCATAAAGCATGAAGAGCTCGCCATATTGCGGAAGTAACTTAAGCCCAAGCTTTCTTATTTATTTGGATTTAAGTTTCTTTCAATATATTTACAAGACCAAAACTGGAAAGAAAAACTATAGAACGAGACCATTTCCTTTTAGATTTTTAGTACAAGGAGGTCACAATTAATCTTGTTGGTCAACTTTTAAAATCTTATGGTTGTATGTCATTAATTAAACTCAAGGTTCAAAAAAGATTCTTGTATTTCATGATAAACCTCAATCTATCAAAGTGACACGGCTAAGAGTGTTTATGACCTCCTTATAACAATATTAAATAGTCACATTGAATACAATCCCAAATGACAATATGGGTACATGGCTCATGAATATGGTAACGGCATGATCACAATAGTAAATAGTCACATTGCATACAATCCCAATTTTTATTAGATTGTAAAATATGTTACAGGGATAATCATAAAACAGCCCTTGAAAAGGGAACACCACCAACATCATATAGAAGAATACATATTAAAAAAATTGGGGAGTGAGCTCTCCGCACAGTCCCTCTTCTTCTAGACATTGATTCCCACGGAATCTGCTGTCATATTCGCCTCTCCATAGGTGTGTAGGATCTACCATTGATGATTTGAAAAATTTTGAGAGTTCACATATGCAGTTCACCGTATAATAGTAGTCTCCATGGAGTCCTGCACCATCGAATCAGATAATCCACCAACAGTTTATAATCACTCTCAATCACCAAATGTACGCAATACGACTTATGTGTCGGATCAATCCCCTTTGATAGTGGGTATAAATTAGAATTAAAAATTTAATGGAAAGATTATGTGCTCCGGATCAATGATTCAAAAGTAAATCTGCTCTTCAGGGTAAAATCACAGTTTCAAGTATTTTCCCAGATGCAATCTACTCAATCTAGCAGTCAACCCAAAATTAAATGAATTATGTAAGCCTGGTTTGCTTGAATTATGTCCTGGGATCACAAATAGGTGTCTAATTTTTGAACAGTTCGATATAGGTAATTATGTATTTAAAACCCATTTCTTTAGATGCTTATGTATTCAAAAATACTTTTTATAAGTTAAGAAAAACAAAATTCTTCTCATAATCCAAAATTGAATCCCAAAACTTAACATACAAAAAATTGGATCCCAAAACTTTATATAAACGAATTCTCCAAGTGGGTCATTTTTCCAAGGGAGTAAATGAATTTTTCATTCTCCAAAAGGAGAATGCTATGAGCATTTTAAATATTGGGTAATAGAAATTTACTCGCATACCTCCTATGTCTTAAGGGTGGGTGCCATATATATATATATATATATATATGGCTTCAACCTTAAACAATCAAAACAATGTGAAACTCCAGAGCCTGTCGAAAGATACAGCTCATACACTAGCGGCCCCTGCAATATCATGAAAAACTTGTAGATTAAAGCTCCAAGAATTGAGCTTGGACATAGGAAGTTCTAGATTATTTGTTATAAAATAGATTATTTTATGACTTAAAATATTTTATTCATAGTTCTATATATTGCGGTCGAGATGATCACCTGGAAACATAAAAAACAACCTATTTGGGTGGGCTCTTGAGATATGACTTACATTTATAATTTATAGGATATGAATATTATGGGTGGCAATGGGTGAGGTAGGGTTCGTGTCAATTGGGGCCCGACCCAGATCTGGAACCTACCTAGCTAGGCATTACATGGCCCCAGACGTGGGTCTAGAAATTCAAAGACATTTAAGTTATATAGTATGTAATATATATGTTTTATTCTAGTCAAAATGACAATAAAATAAATAAATAAAATCTAGTGAGACTATATATGCTTTATATTTGTTATATATTTCATACGAAGTCAACTCAACTTGGTCCGACCGAAATCGATAGGGTCCATGCTTGATCTAGACCCAGATGCGACCCGGATCAGGTCGAAGCATCCAGATTTGAAATGCTGAGTCCAAACCAATCTTAATTGGCGATCAGACAATTCAATACGAGATCAACGGGTGGCCATCTGCCCCACTAATAGGATGTTTCATAGACTGGCCTTCACCATTGTTTTCATGAGAGAGAGAGCTTACAACCTTGGAAGGTCATGTCATGGATGAAGCCCCTTGAGAGTCACTACTGTGTCACCTTGTAATATACGTTTCTGAACAATTCGCAACTTAGAGAGAGGGAGATGTTGCATGTTTGCTAAGAAGGTTTTGTCCCCACAATGGGCCAAGAATCAAAGAGAGAGAAGAGTTGGTAGGCTCATCTTCCCACTCCAATCCCTCCCACCATTAACATTACCATTCTGTTTTTTTGATGAATAGCTCTTAGCATTTGTGCTTCTCAGAGACCTAGAGGTAGCCTTCTCAAATTCCTCCCAAAATGCTTTTCCTTCCATCAATCCACGAGTCCGCTGTCCAGCTTCTCCAAATCCAAACATGACAGCCTTGTTTTATGGATTTAAGATCACGAGTCCCTTATAGGTTCAGAAGCTTTAAGTTGCTCTGCCAATCTTTTGGTAAAGACAAATCCAGCACTTGGAGTTGCTCAAGTCCTCCTACACGAGCAACATCGACTAGGTTGTTGGCACAACCTTGCAGAGAAAGTTAATGGAGATTCTTCAAGTTGAATAACGATTGTGGCAGAGAGTGGATGCCAGTTTCACAGAGATCAAGCACATTTAGAGCTCCTCCGGAATGTCATTCAACTTTTCATTTTCTTTGGGTATTAATGTCGTGAGAGCCTGGCGGATTTGGAAGTCTCTTTAATGCATTACGCATCGGTGATATGCATTGGGCCTCTCCCCATTCTTCTACCCACCCTGCGTGCTTCCTTCACTCTCAATCCTGCATCCACAATAAACCCCCCACCCCGCCCTCTCTTGTGGAGCCAAATTATTCTTTTCAATTTGATAGTCCTCTGGGTATAGTGAGCAATACAAGAAACATTGCCTGATCTTTTCATCTTGTAATTGGTACAAACACAACACTTTCACGTTCCATGCCTTCAATCTCCATTGTTGCCTCCAATAAGGCCCTTAATGCATTCTCCCACACATTCTTTGACGACCTTACGAGCGATACGATCTGCCACATCTTTTGCTTTTTCATGAAACAAGTTCCACACATCTTCCTCTGTTAAAACATCCACTGTAATATTATGGTTAGTTTCCATCCAATTGCACACCATTAATGATCCGGGTGGTTATTACAACCTTGGATTTGTTTTCTTGGACTCCTATTATCATTCAAATCCAACTTCTCCCACAAGTCATCTAAGATGAGCATGAATCCATGTTCCTTTAGAGCAGAAGACAATCTGTCAACAATCATATATTCATCTTAAACTGTCATGCCCAATTTTTTCATGATTTCCTTTTGTATTCTAGTTATACTCACATCTCTTGATACTCACTAGACGATTATGATTTCAGGCATGAGAGTTGTCTTTCCAGCGCCTCCCATACCGTGAATGCCAATCACACCGAATTATCGTTACACGAGCATTCAAGGATCTTATTTACACTTTTATCAAACGGACTGACCTGTGATTGAAGGTGTAGGCATCTTCCT